AACTAAGCTTTGTATAGGTCATATAAAAACAAGTGAATACATTCCATAAGACCTTAGAAGTTACAAGAAGTCATTCCGGTGAAGTATGCCAGAAATTGCAAGACCAACTTTTTGTCATTTAACAGCACTATTAACTGTGCACAGCGTTATGTTCTCCTTGAAAACCACCCAAAGTCCAACAATAAATTTCCCGCCTACTTTATGGGTATAAGCATGAAAAAGCTGAGGCAGAAGAGTGCCAAACGGGCAATAATTTCAGCGCGGTGGACTAATAAAGTATTCATGAGTCGGAAGAAAATGGTATTATAATCCTCTTGATTGATGGCGTGCAACAAAAACATGATCTCTTGGGGTTCTTACCTTTATTGGATTATAAATGGCCTAATACTAGGAGTACTTTAGAAAAGAATAGAAAGTCTCTGAACCCATCGTTGTGTCAAATTCGTAATGCATTGCGTTGTAACAAATTCGCTGCCATTGTCACGGAGGAAAGTGAAACACCAGAGTCCTAAATAGAATCGCGCTATTTGAGGTTAAACTGCTCAAAAACAAGAATAATACGACAAGCTTCATGTTGAGAATATGCAACGCCCACTTCGCTGTTGTGAATCCAACCTCGGACCCGCATGATTGAGTGGACTTAAAACGGTAAAGCTGACGTTGAAATTTTCGGTTTGAGGAAAAATGCACCTTAGTGTTTGGTCAAAGGAAGGTCGTAGCAATTGATGTCGTACATCTGGGCTGCGGTACTGGTTGCTTTGCCTCCGAAGTGCCGGGGGCTAACATATATATGACTCACGACGGCATAATTTGAAATTACCAAGCAATGCATGAGGATGATGAAACTAACGAACGTCAAGTGTGATAGCACGCATCGCCCCGACAGACACCTCTGTGGGTCTGGAGACAAGGTGACAATGATGCACAAAAAGAAGTCCCTTGGCTTACCATTGTTGTGCGCTTTTGAGAATGCCCTCTTACACTCTTTACGTTTCACCATGTCCAAAAAATCTACAAATTGTTAACGCTAATCGGTGATTTTATACTGCTCTTCAAGATTGTCTATCGTACTGAAGGTGAAGACGTTCCACCTGTGTCAAGATTTACACCGAGAAAAGTCATTATAGGTGAAATGTTTTAACGAACAATAACTAGCCAAGGAAATGATGGTGAAGTTAGTTATGGGAGAAGAGGAAGGGAGAAAATCCAGTTAAATTACAAAAGCATTTAAAAATTGCTCTTAGATCGCCTGGCCACTGTCTAAGAGGCACCAGACATCAATCGACCAAGAGCCAATGGGAGCCGCGCGTGCATGTACTGGCAAACGCGCACGCAGCCATTCAGGGATGATCGATGTCTCACATCAGCCAATAGGAGAGCTCGACTCTGTTAAAACACGTTGTAGGTACGTGCGTGCGTGCATGCACGTACGTACGCAAGACGTGGAGAGAAACAACGCAAGGGCGTAGAGCGTACCGACTATCGTCGTGGCGATCGACTTGAGAAGCGGAAGGAGTCTTCTTCCAAGGAATTATCATCTCATTCACTGGATATATTTTTTTTGCCCACCTCCAATCCCTCCTTCGCGATCCGTGCTGATTTGCTCATTCGAGTGAGTCACATTTCCGCGTTTTTACTTGCTAGTCCACCGTCAATTTCACTCTTCTATGAATAATTTGAAATACTCCTAGCTAATAACGCTTTTGCTAAAGTGAAAATACGCCAGAAATGAGAGTACTTATCGCAGTGTTAAAGCTCTCTCAAGCTGGCGATTGTATGACTTTACAATGATTTTATTCCTTTGAGGTCTGATTTCCCGTTGACATTTCTAAGGAGTACGCTTCTGACAGACACATCTTGTTGATTAGGGCTGGCTTCTTTTGTGGCGACTTATTCGGTTATTTGGTTTGCGAATGCATTTTCTTTTTTATAAATAACTTTCTAGTCTTGGGTGAACATCCTTCTAAAATCTGTACAACCTTTTCGTTAGCCTGTCTCTTCCTCTCTACATTGTTTATTTTTTGAGGTGGATGCTGGAAATCGTAGTTTTCCACTGCCAAACCCGATGAATGGTATTCGAAGAACGCTCCCATTTTGGGAAATGTCACCATAGGATTTTTACCGCTCTCCAACTAATGACGATTTGTGTCCGCCATTTGGCCAGCTGGATTTTTCGCCATGAGGGAATGTCCGGGTGGATAGACTCCTGTGACTCACCTCATCTTTCTTTCGTCTGTTTAGGCCTGCACACACACTAACACAGGCACACATGCAAACGGTTGTGATTTGATGTGTCCTTTGTCCACCACTTCTGCAGGTGCCTTTGACCTTAATGGGTAGTAGCCTCAGCCCCGGGGTTAACTGATCCTCACTGTGTCGAAGGTTTGGAGGTTTGAAATTGATCTCTTTTCTAACTTGAGTTCGACGTTATAACTACACGGTACTTTATGCAGTGTTTGATAACTGTATTGGCACACTATTGTGTGTCTCAAACAGATTGGTTCAGTCTAAAATGCCAAAAAAGATGTGCTATGACCTTGTTGTTTACATGGTGACCATGGAGGAATAAACAAAACGCACGACGACGCATAGAGGGGTGTTTCTAGATGGGTCTGTGCTTTGCTGATTAAGCGTTGGCTTGCCTAGAGTGCTATTAATTTCTCAAGTGGGGAATTTGCCGTCCTGAACCAAGGCATGTAGGCAAGTTGTGTGTCTAGACTAGCAGTGTTGTGGTTTTACAGTCTACGTCATGATTACTCGTTCGTGCCTTCTGATACCGGAATCCGTATAGCTACTTTAACCTACTAGATCGTAATAAATAGTTCAAAATTGGGGACACGTCGAATCTTGCCAAGATGAATGCATTCACCACTGCGGTACCGGTTCAGCTCTTGTTGGGACATTTTCAAGACTGAAATCTCGTACCGGAGTAAAATTTTTCTGAGTGTCGGTTCGATGTTTCTTCAAGGTATTTGAGTTGTCCACAGTAGTTCATGCCCCAACATGACGTAGATCCTTTACTTACTTCCCGTTTTTTTACGAAACTTTGCTAGAATATGTTAGCAAAGCCAAGCTTGTGTATGAAATAACGGGGATGGTCATGCATCTTCATATAGAAAGCGAACTAATGAAGTCTTGTGCATGTCAGCCCCCAAAACTGACCCAAAATAGATAATCACATTCTGATCAAAGGTAATATTTAACAGGAGGTAGTAAATATGCATTATTCTTACGTCCGCAATTTCTCCAAAATTAGTGCCACATTGACGTGTGTCAAAATACTTCACATCACTCCACTCCACCCCATTCAACTTGTTTGCTCCCCCTTTTTCGTCAAAATGATGATGTTTCCTCCTTCAATTTCAAGTCTACTTGGGCTTGTGTAAGCATTTCATCAGGACAGTTCTCCACAAGTTTTTTTCTCGTGAATGCTTTATGTATTTTTTCAACATTTTTCTATGAAATTTTGGTCTGACGAGTCAAAATTTGGACTGTTTTCGTGTCAGAAATAATGCAAACAGTGCTGACAGCATAAAAACAGCGAAGTATTTGTTCAATGAGCGCACAGGTCATTGTTTGACGGTTTGGGTTGAGGTCTCATTCTGATGGGCACAATGAATACCTCTATCGTAAACAATTCGTGAATTAGTGACAGTAAGGCACGTTGTTATTCCTCTTCCATCAACTGTCAGACCCAAAGATGCAACAGGAAATGGACAAGTCTTCACTTCCCTAAAAGCTGTCCACTTGGATATGGGAAGGAAGGAGATCTTAAATACACATTTGGACGTACATTAGACAACCATAAATGTCTAATTAGCCATTTGTCTGTCACAGGCCTCAATCGGACTGCTTCCCTTCACCCGCCCGAAAAGAAATTTGAACCTGTTAATTAGTGTACATCTCCACACTAATTGGTCACATTGTATAGACCATAAACTAGCTTATCTGACCTTTCTTTCTGATGCGAGAGGAGGAAAGCTATCGCCAATCAACGCAAGTGCTCATATGATGCCTATCTTCCCCTACAGATGAAGAAGTACTATTATTTTCTTAGGCGGCAGAATCACGATTGAATGTGTAGGGCGAGAAGTAAAGGCGGGTTCACCGTGCGAAACTGCGTCCCTCTGCTTCAATTCCCCTCTAAATGGGGACAGTGGAATGCTTTTTTGCTGTTATTTCCCTCATGCTCATGGAGTGCTTATTGGTGCTCACTTCTGGACGTGTTCGTGACTTGCGTTGACTTGACCTACAACGTGGATAAGCGCACCACCCGCATAACTTGTCCGCACTAGAAACCACGTACACGCACACGTATGCGTGTATCCACATACTTTCTTCTTAAATCGCCTCGTTAACCTGTTCTAAGGTACTGAGGACGCCTAGAAGTTGAGGCCCCTTTGGTGCATTTAATCTCTTCAGGATCTTCAACTGATCCACCTTAACCGCTTAATCGGAAGCTAGATAGTTTTCCATTTCCACCAATTTTTTACGTAGTGTAGCATCAGGGTTACCCCCAAAGCATTCGAGGCTGGAAGTAGCAGGGTAGCTGCTGGCATGCCACCGTCGTTGTGACCAAATCGCTGGAGAATGGGAAGATTCGCCTTATCGCATTTCAGCGCAATTCTTGTTTGTATGGTTTCGAAAACGAGTACCTTTGAGACCACCATTCGAGCGCCGATGATAAAGTGGAATGTCCTGTCTTAGGATGTAATTCCGCCGTAATGACAAGCCTTTTTGCGTCGCATTTGCTTATCAGATAGTAGGTAAATAACAGAGAATAAGTTGAAAGTCCCGGTTTGATTTGAATGCCATCTGTAATCAAAAAATAGTCACAGACGCCCTAATGAGTAATACCAACTAAGGAGTTGCCTCAAATGCAACCCGACGCGACACTCTCAAACTCTGTGGTTGATTTTCTTGTCGAACTCTTTTTCTGTGTGGTTAAGGTCAATGTTACTACCGTTGTTGTTGTTGTTGCAGATGCATATCCGAGCTCAGTGCCCGCATGTTACAATTATAGGCCTTCGTGCATAAATTAAAGACACCCTTGAATGTGTGGGGGGAGGAGGGAGTAATGCCATCTTTTTCTGAGACGCAAAACCACTCTTAATCGTTCACACGGATTGCTCCTCGCGTAAAGTTATAAACCACCCATTGCTTGTGTGAAAATTGGAAAGGATAAATCTCATTTCTGAACAATGGGATCATGTTTTTTCTCAAGTTCACTTGTTTCCAAACGCTAAAGTGGAAAACAATAACCCCCATTGTGTTGCAATCACTCCCAGTGATGGGTTGGTCACACAAAGCTAATGTTTCCCCTCGTTACCAGTGTGGCTACTGGAGTAACTTTTACGAGTTTTCGCTGTCCTCTGCTTTAGAACTTAGCTATAGTTTGTGAACTCAGTTTCAACACGAAACTATGTCATTTTTAACAATGACGGCTTTTCATGTCGATCATCAAGGAGGAGTTAATTTAAGGCCTAAGGAATGCGATAGACAGCGTATTTTCATATTTGGTTTGTGATTTTTCGTGGTCTCTATTTGGAAAACCTTAGCTACTTAAGCGTAGGTTTTCTTCTTCATCAGCCTGGCTTTTGCTTACAGAAGATTTTCATCCAGGTTTGTAGAATGAGTCAACTACTGTTAGAATGGTAACCATGTCAAGCATTCTTGCAAAAGTGTGCGAAGATCCGCTTGACTGGGTCGCTCTTGGGATTAAAATTGTTTGTCATGACGGAATTTTCCACCTAATCCATTTATCATCCTTCTTTGGTTAGCCACGCCCTTACTAAAAAGGTTCCAGCATGTTTTAAACTGTCTGCGCGCTGGATTACTTCGAAAACAGTCCATTTAAAGAGTAATGCATGCCTCAGTCGGACATCTCCTACTTAATGACTGCGTCCCAATTCAGTGGGCGCTTTTGCATGAGGCAATTAGGCCATCCATAAGCATCACTGATGGTGTGTAAATAGCCTTGCAAACATCTGAACATGTGAATAGATCCACTTTTTGTTCTCCTCTGTGCCTTGGCGACCGATCACATGACATCGTTTTGCAAAAAGCATCTTAGCTGCCATTTCTTCATTCCCCAACACTCCGGCCCTCCTCCATGCGGGCACCATCCCATTCACTCGCGCCATGACTGGCTTTTCTACACCTCCGCCGCTTCCTTTTCGTCTTCCACACACTTGCACATGCGTCTTCAACCGCAAGTACAACTGCCACATGGTGTGGAGGATCGTGGTATAGAGTAAATTGGAATGGGGTGAGTGGTGTAGAGAGTGGAGCGGTGTGGAGAGGAGAGGAGTGAGTGTAGTGAATTGAAGTGATGCGTAAAAGATGGAAAGGGGATAAAGGAGGTCAGTAACACCGAATATTTATTATTCAATTTACAACATTTGTAGATTTTGGAGGGGTTTTTCTTAGAACTTGTCCAACTTGCCCCATACATTCCTTAACTTACCATAAAAATTACTTTGATTTATGATTTTTCTACTGGGGTAGCTGTTTAGTCGTCTGTGGCACTTTCGTCAATTCGGGTAATTCTCTGACCCCGATTGACCTTACTTTGTGGCCTAGTGGCATCTTAACTCCTATAAAATTGATTCTCTACCGGCTAGTGAATCATCAATTGTGGGTGCAATAAAAACCAAGCCAATTCTTTGGGTTTTATCACATCTCTGATAACGAAGATCTCCAACATAATTAGTACGCGACCGGCCATATAAAAAGAAAAGCCTTCCTATGCATTATTGTGTGGGGGTAACTCATCTGCCAACTGCGTCTCGGAGGCAATTTGACCACCACAGCCCATAAACTATGTATTATAATTAATGCTATACTGTTCGAGAACTGGAAAAGGTAGTCAACTTCAAACTAAGGTTATCCCTCGTCTGTTCCAGTGCAAAATTTCATGCTGGGCCCAATAACATATTATACATATTTGCCGCTAAAAAATCCCCTATGCATTCGAAAAGGCTGATTAGGCAGAATTGATGAAATTTGATATCTGATCTAGCTGACGCGTAAATAATTTCA